AAGGAATCCGGCGGCCGAGAAGCTGCTCGCGCATGCGGTTGTGAGGGCCTAGCTATATATCAGCGCCGTCTGGAAGCCGGCGGATGGTCACGCAGTGTAGAGAAGAGGCGCTTTTTGGCGTGCATGCAGGCCGGGGCATGGCATGGGTGAAGGCTTCTTTGGATATCGGCCCGAGAGGAACCCGACGGACAGAGGTGGGGGGCTTCGGGTCATTTTGCGCGCAATATTGTGGTCATGCGTGGATCTCCCGGTGGCTGCCGTGGGGACAAAACGTGCTGGAGGCCAACAATCTGATCTGTTCGTCTGGCTCGATGGATGGTTCTAGCTGGATGGTGCAGTGGGTGGATGATATGATGCAAGTACCGCACGTCATGGGACGATATTATCGTACTACATACCAGACCAACCACCCGGTGGATATAGATTGGCCTCTACACAGTCACTGTCGGGTGAGTTGCAAATTGTTATCGTTGTCTTCATTTGATAAACGACGGGCGCGGTGCGGTGCAGTTGCGGGCGGGCGCCCTGGTTGCGATGCCATGCCGCGCCGCACCGTATTAATTGCTGATGCGGTATTCCTAGATACCTGGTTAGGTACCGTTAATTCTCGAATAATCCACTATCCCCGTATTTGTGTGTGGTAAGTCTGGACCAAGGCGAGTTGGCGTATCAAAATTCACGGATTCGTGCAGATACACACTTTTTTCACCCGGAATTAAGATTTAACGAAGCGGAGATAGTGGATTTCTCGAGAATTAACGGTATTGCCCTGGTTGCCTCTATTTTTGGAATAGTTGGTTACTATCTACAGTGTCCTCTCAATTACGCGGAGGATAGACGCCGCGCCGCAGATAGTTGCGCCGGTCGCATGTAGAGTAATCTATTGTTGGCCCGGCCGCGTGCTCCTTCTGGGTGGAATGAGCCAGTAGCCGGGTGTCAATGATCGCAATGCTCAGAAATTGGATCCAGCTGCGGAAATGATATTTCAAGACAATGACGGATTATGTTCATAAAAAGTGACGGAGAGAAAAAATGCAGCAATAATTATGCCATTCAAAAAACGATAAAAAGCCATTCAAAGCTTCGGGGCTACGGGGTAACTCCAGGGCCGTAATCATAATGTGATAAAAATTTGGAACAATAAAGCCTCCAAAAATATTTGCTACTACAGAAAGTCTACACATATCCCTCAATGACTATCCCCCTTCCCACGCTCCAGCTTCCACTGATCCGCATCCTCTTTCGTTGTATTCATCGATAACTCCTCCCTCAGCTCCTCACTCAGCACATACTCCTTCTCCTCCGGCACAAACTTCTCCGCCTCCTCAATCTTCCCCTCATCCACCAACTTCTTCATCTCTCTCGCCCTCTCCGTCACATCCTACCACAACATTAGCACACACACACCCCAAAATCGAAAAGCAACAAACGGAATAAAGACATACCTCAATCGCCACAATCATCTCCTCCACCCACTCCTTCACCATCCCCCTCCCTACGCCCACCTGAATACTCCTATACGGCAGCTTCTCCAACGCCACCGTCCTCTCCGGGTCCCACTGGACCCGTATCTCCTTCCTCTCCTTCCACGCCACGGACGCATTCTGCAGCAGCTTCTCAAAGCCCTCGCGCTTGACCTTGAGCGCGAGGATGTGCGCCTGCCGCTCGCTCTTGTACGAGTACCCGCTGCGGTACATCATCCACGTCCAGCTCGGCTTGATCCATGTCATGCGGTCGAGGCTGAAGTCGGGCGAGGCGGAGAGCTTCTGCGAGGCGACGGCGGGCAGTGCGATGCTGGATTGGTAGGCTTGGTAGACGGTGATTGTGTCGGCGTCGTAGAAGGCGCGGATTTGGCGGTAGGGGGTCTCGGTGCTGGTGGTACCGGTGGTGGCCGACATTGTGGTAGTGTTAGTTTTTTTTGTCTGGGCTTTATTTTCAGGGTTTGGTTATTTTGAAAAAAATTGCGGAATTGCAATTGCAGGATTGCTTGCTGATTTAAGATTTGTAGGTGCTGTGGTGGGATTTTATACCCCATATCCACAGGCTTTCTTAATTCATTGACTCAGCCCTATAATACCGGGTCTCCCATGCAGCCAAGACTGATATACAGTCATTGGAATGCTGAGCCCGGTGAATGAGCCATACAAGGACAGAAATGAAGAAAAAGAGAGACAATCCTATTGCTCTGGAAGCTGGCTTAATGTCTGAAGCTGTGGTGCCTATTATCGAGGTTAAGCTATATATGTATATTCGCTTAACATCGGCCAGGGGTGCACGTAGCACAGAACAAGTGGTACCAGAAAAAGCAAACAACAGTGGCACTAATAAATACATAGTACTTACGATACGACCGCTTTTTGGTGCCAGCGCATGGAAGGCTGAACTTGGCCGGGCTCGATTCATTTGGCACGGGTTGTTGTTGTTGTGATGGTCATGGTGGGTCACTCGAAAGTGCAGGCGGTTACAAGGGGTTCGAGACAGGCAGGGCTTGCGTCATGGGCGCTCACTCGGAGCGCATACCTGCTACACTAGGTTAGCGGGGTTCTGAGGAAGATACGACGAGCAGTGCTATGTGGAATCTCGGTGTGTAGTTATTGTTATCTGCGCACCGGGATGTGCGGAAAGATATAGGTTGGGAGTCTTCTACTTGTGTTGTCGGGGGCCGGGCGTGCTGCTGCGGGATAGGTACGGTACGGTCATATCGGTCAGACAAGTAAGGCACCCGGCACCGCCGGCAGAACTACAAAAGCCTCGCCCGTGAACTCCCGTAAATAAAAAGAACAAAAAGTACTTCTGGCCGAGGAATACATTTTTTACGGGGGGGAGCAGGTCCGGTTTATTATATATATTCCACAGGACCTCCCGACCCCGGAATTGACGATCATGGGGAATTCAAAACACCCGGTGTTCCTTACCGCTAGATCGACCCACATAACTCGCCCACACAATTTTCTGTGGCCGGGAGGTAATATTTAAAGGCGTGCAGGTAGAGATTTAATTGGGCACCCAGGCCAAAATGACACAGTTTTCGGTATACGTGCTCTGCAATAACACATGATTCAAATGGCACAGTTCGCTACTAATGTTCCAAAAGTCTACTCGACCTCACGCCGAGAGTATAGCGGTAGGTAATAAGTGATGGAACGCTCTGAGGTACAGTTATACCTGCAAACACCGTATGTTGGTGGCGTTTTACCTAAAACAGGTATCACTGTGTCTCAGGGCGTTCCATCACTTATTACCTTCGCTGTACAAAGACATCGGGCAAAGCCAGCAATAAGGGGTCAATCCCCACCACTCAACCCCCTCCTCCTCAAAAATCAAAATAGTCTGCTAATTTATTTCACTATAAATAAATAAAAAATATAAAATAAAAAAGAATAGAGCGTTCTGCAAAAGGTACTGCAGCGACTTATTGGTCAGTGTGCGCTACTACCCCCACCCCTGGTTTGAACCCAGGACCTGGCGTCCTGGGTAAACACTCGGTGTCTAACCCGACGAGCAGTCTAACCACTAGACCACCCGCCCATAGTGGATGCTGCGCTGGAAGTGATACTTAACCTTGGCAGTGTGCCAAGATGAAGCAGAACCCCTAACCCTTCGATGTCAAAGCTCAGTCACACATGTACTGGGGAAATAGTCGTCCACAGCAAGTAATGATTATAACCGCAACAACTTGCTACAAATAACAAACACCCAGCGCAATAGAGTGGGAGAACTCAGGGACAGACAGAATTGGGTCTAGCTGGTTGGCTTTTCACCCGTGCTGGTAGGGACGCGGTGGGGTTGACATTATCACTGCTAGTCATAGATTCTCACTCGCTGCTACGATGTGATGCTGTTTTTTTTTCTGTTTTTTTTTTCTTTTTTTTTTTTTTTTTTGTTTAATTCATTAATTGTATGCAGCCCTTAAGCCATGACAATATCACACTACCCCCAGAACTACCCTTCTAGCCTCCTCCTCCCACCTCTCACTTATACAAAGGAAAAATAAAAATAAAAATAAAACAAAGCAAAATATAATAATAATAAAATAGAACTCGTAACTCGTAATTTTTCCTGACAATTTCCCTTTTCCGTCCGTGTCTTGCTCGTTATCCCTCTATATATATGGGGGCTGTCTCTCAATCCTCCCCATCCTAGCCCCCCGCTTCCCTATTTTCCTTCCTCTGCCTCTTCGTCTCTTCCCCCCCTCACGATGTGATGCTGGCTGGCTGGCTGGCTGGCGCCGACACTACATGTACATGTACTTACCGCGCAGGATTCTGCTCGCATGCGCATATATATGCGTATATCCCGACGACACGGCCGTGAGTCAGATCAGTGCCTACTACGTAGCTGGGGAACAAGTGGCTACACGTATGTAGGTAGGTCCCGCAATTACATTAAACTCTCCCAACAGCCTCTCGAGCATCGAGCGTGTATCCTTCATTACCTTCTCCCTATTCCTAACCTACGGTTCTACCTCTACCTTGAAGCGCAGCTAGCCATCACTGCCATTACGCGCGCTGCCAGGAGATGTGCCTACCACATATGCATATCTTTTATCTGTGTTGCCGCATGGAGGGGTGGTGGGGGGTCTATCGCCAGGGAGGGAGGGGCAGATGGGGGTGTTTTTGGTGTAGTTGTAGTTGTAGCTAGCTGTAGTTTCCGCTTTGTGTTTTGGTTATGTGGTTGGTGGTTGGTGATTGTCGATTGATGGAGTATATTCACAACCTATCACTCGCACGCCTTTCCCACAACCACACCTGATTACTGACACGCACGCGCATGCGCACGTAGTACTGTACCGCCAGCGCATACAAACACATCTTTTCTGATACACAACTTGGTATACTCCTACACCACCACAAACACTACAGCAATAAAATACCGCAACACAGCACAGCACAATCCGAACAAAACAAAAAAAGAAAAAAGAAAAAAGAGAAAAAAACACAAGCAAGCAAGCAAAAAAAAAAAAAGGTCTATTAATTCCACCCCCCTCTCCCACCACCACATCAATACGCCTCCTTCACCACATCCAGCCCCCCCGCCCCGCCCCCCGCCTTCCCCCTACTCCGACACTTCACCCCCCAATCCACCAAGATCGGCAAAAACTTCCACAAATCAAAGTCCGGCCACAAGCACTCCAAAAACACAATCTCCGTATCCTTGTGGCACTGCCAGAGCATGAAATCACTCAGGCGCTCCACGCCCGACGTGCGGATGAGCAGGTCGAGCGGCGGGCAGTCGGCCGTGAACATGTGGTCCGTGAGCGTCTGCTCGGTGATGCTCTCAATGTCCATGTACGACGGCGTGGCCGTCTTGGAGGACGTGGTGGAGGAGGTGGACGTGGCGGATGAGGTGGATGAAGTGGAGGAGGCGGACGTGTCGGATGTGGGGGAGCCGGGCGGGGGCGTGGAGTGCGAGGGTGTGGTGGAGAGGGAGACGATGGTGCGGATTGCGGTGGTGATCTCGTCGCGGGAGGTGTAGGGGAAGCAGACGTTCAGGATCGCCCTGTTTCGTATCTCTGTTAGTGTTTCCGCAGCTTGTAACCAACTTCACTACCCAGGGGAGGGGGGGGGGGGGGGGAAGAGCGCACTTGTTATTCCCCCTCGTCATCTCCGTCGCCTGCTCAATCACCTCCAACACATCGGGCCTCAACAACGGCAGATGCCCCAGCACCCTCAGACTCGCGCCATAGCGATCCATCAGATCCCCATGCTGACACAGCTGGCCGAGCTTAATCTTCGCAATCTCCATGAGCGCGTTGACCTCGTGCAGCGGGCGCTTGAAGTTCTCGATGCTGAACGCATAGATGGTGACGACCTTGACGCCGCTCTTGTAGCACACCTCGAGGATCTTGGCGAGGGCTTCGAAGCCCATGTGGTGGCCCTCGACGGTCTCGATGTGGCTGCTGCGCGCGAAGCGCCGGTTGCCGTCCATGACGAAGGCGATGTGCTGCGGGACGGGGCCCTGGCGCAGCGCGTTGATGAGCAGCTCTTGCGTGAGGGAGATGACGTACTCGATGGGCGGGGAGGAGAGGAGCCATTTGCGGGTGCGGGAGGAGCCGTGGAGGGTTGCGGGCATGGCGGCGGCGGTGTTTGGGGGGGAGGGGGGGGGGGGGGTGGTCAGGGAGTGTTGTGGGTGCGCTGTGGGGAGTGCTGGTGGAGGTGAGTGGGGAAGGGGGGGAGTGGTGGTTTATCTATGTAGCAAGGTGGGTGAAGTGAGGTGTGTGAGGTATCGGTTGTTTCCCTCTGCCGGTTGCTTCTCGGATGGCGCATGCAGCTGCAACCGCAACGACGTGCGGCTCCACGTCATCCCCAAGCTTTGATTCCGGCTATTTCACGTGCAACAATCGCCAGCTCCGGAATGGCAGCTGCGGTGTCTGCAGCATACAAACATACAATACACTTGCAAATACATACAATTCTATCAGAAAAGCTCTCCAGGGAAAACATTGTGTGCATGGAAAAGTAGTTCACTATTAGATAACTCAAAGAGTGCCTGCAAATGTCTCAGCACAACCAGCCCACCACAATGTACTAGCGCACCCCCTATGTACCTGCATACATACACGCACTCCACCCATACCACCATAACCCTCCCCCCCCTCCTCCCCCACAGCTACCACCTCCCCTCCCACTCCTCCAACCTCCACTCCACCACCACCCCCCCAACCTTCCACCACAAATGCCCACCGACGCCCTCCTCCACGCCCTCACCGCCCTCCACCACACCCTCGCCACAAAATGGCTCCTCCGCGAATTCCGCATGCGGGGCGCACCCCCGACCGCCGCCGTACCTCCCCCCCCAAACCCCCCTCCTCCTCCTCCTACCCTCCTCCCCCGCTAACCGACACGCTCAGGACATGGCCACTGTGATCAGCTTCGAGCACGCGCTCGAGGCGCTGCACGAGCGCGGCTTCGAGGACATGGGTGTACGTTGCGCCGCCCACACCCCCCCCCCCACAAGCTGTTACTAACGCGAATGTATACACTACAGGCGATCACGAAGCTGCTCGAAACACTCGCGGCGCACCCGACCACGCCGCGAAAGCTGCGAGGGACCGCGAACGAGTGTCTAAGGAAGCTGCGCGAGGAGGAGTGGGTGGAGGTTGTGAAGGACGAGGAGGAGCTGGAGAGCGGGGAGTGGGTGGGTGTGGCGAGGGGGGACGATGAGGTGCATGTGTAGCTGTGCTGTGGTTGGTAATTATAATTATAATGGGCTTTTTTTTTTTTTTTTTCTTTTTGTGGGGGTTTGGGGGGGCGGGGGGGCGTGGGGGGTTGTTTTGGGGGTATATATATATTTTTTTATTTTGTTTTGGTTTGTGTAGTAGTAGTAGCTGTTGTAATACTAGATGAGAGCTATGCGATAGACCCAGAGAAGGGAGAATGGAGAATGGAGGATGGAGGGCGGGCGAGTGAGGTTCCATGAAGCCCACAGCCAGATGAGACCGTTTTCCGAGACGAGACCTTTCCGCAATTGCAACGGCCGTACCAAACGCCCGCATGCAGCTAGTGCGATCGATAGCTCCAGACAAATAAAATAAGGTTTTTCCTTGGCAGGGTCCGCTAGCTGGCTGTGGATCATTGCCTCACTGCTTCTCACTCGCACGCTGATCTGCGCCGGCCGGGTTTGAGGACGGTGACTGCGTCTATTCTGCTTGTCTTGGTTGGGCGGTGATTACATGGCATATAGATCGGAGCTTTCCCTTCCGCGCTTGTCGGGGGGGGTTAGCCTGCATGTTGGTCTCGAGCTCGTTCTCGCTGTGGGTGGCCGGGCCGGGTGGCGAATAAGTCATTGACTAGCTCTAGATCTTGTGGCGGATATCTCTGGCTGGCTGCACATACAATCCTCACTACATGTACCTTAACCAACGCAATTATCACGACCACCACCACCACCACCACAAGGCTGCAAATCGATGCCCGAAGAAGAAGAAGAAGAAGAAGAAGGGGAGTGTACGGGAGGCCTAAATCTACAAAGAGGGAAGGCCATGAATATATCATAATTCCCAACAAACTAGGGCGAAAGGATTGTATTTACCCACAACTGGAATGGACAGCCCGAATTGGAAGATGGGATGCGCTCCAGGAGGAGGAGGAGGAGGAGGAGGAAAGTAGTTACTTTTTCACGACAGGCCTCTGATCTACCCTAACCCTACAAACATTATCACAACCGCACTTTCAACCCTTCATGATCTCCAAAAGCACACCTCCATTCCCAACGCCAAACAGCAATTCATTAGTTTCACCCCCCCCCCCACTATCTATCCACGCCAATTGCAATTACCAACCCAACCCCTAGGACATCCACTTTGACGCATTACTCGGGATCAGCACCCTCAAGCTCTCCACATGCATCTCCAGCAGCTTCCTCCGCGCGCCCTCCTGCCCCGACTTATCCATCCTCCTCTCTCCGGCGCCATACAGCACCGTATAGTCCTCCAGCACCTCGCCATCCGCCACCCTCGTCAGCGGCGCCAACTTACAATGCTGCCCTCCCCGCACCCCGATTAGCCTCCTCTCCCCTCTCTCCCCGCAACCCCATCCCCAAGGAATCACATACCTTCCCCACCCTCGCCCCCTTCCCCACCCTCACGCCCACCTCGACCGTCGACCCCTCGCCCACCTCCCGCGCCTCAACAAGCGCATTCACCTCGACGACCACGCCGTCGCCGATGGTGAGCCCCTGCGCGTCCGGCGCAACCAGCTGCGTGCGCTCGCCAATGATGCAGCTGCGCCCGATGGTGATGGGGCCGAGCGTGCTGTTGAGTTTTGCGCGCGGGTGCACGACCGTGTTGGACGCGATGCGCACGCGGTGTGTGCCTGTGAGTGAGGCGCTGTCGGCGAGGACGATGGAGGGCGAGAAGTCGACGGGGGGTTTTATCTCCGGGGCGGGGGCGCGCTTGGGTGGCATGCTGGTGTGTGGGGTTGGAGTGTGGTGGTGGTGGTGGTTTGGTGGGTGTGAGTGGTGAGTGAGTGGTGGTGAGCGGTGGTGGGTTGGTGGGTTTGGGGGAGTGGTTGGAGATTAGAGATTGGAGATGGATTGTGGTGGTGGTGGTGGTGGTGGTGGTGGTGGTGGTGGTGGAGAGCTACCTCTGTGTGTGTGTCTTGGCTGCATAGGCGAGCTGTCGAGCTAGCTAATGATCTGCAGCTTCACCGTTCGATCCGATATCACATCGTCTTGGTGTTGTTTCATATGTATATCGCAGTAAGTAAATATCTCCTCCTCCTGCTCCTTCTATGCACTATCACTGCTATTGCCAAAAGTAGAGTACATGTACCTTGGTGGGTTTCGTAAAACTGCACGTATGTATGCAGTCGATTTATCCTCGCGGCGCAGGAAGTCTGGTATCCCCGCCAGGGTTTAAAAATAGCACACAGCGCTCTCGAGCTCCCCCCCCACATGGGTGCAGCTAGGCTTCGATCTGGATATTCTAGAAGGAAGCATTGCATGCGCGAAGGGGCACATGTAGGTATCGTGAATGCCGGCAAATAGTAGTAAAGCACATTCCAACTCAATACTTAGAATCCTCCATTTCCGTAGAGTCCAAATTCGGTATTGCGATATCATCGATCCCTATCGAGTACCAGGATCACAACCTTTTCCCACGTTTTTCTACATATGGCGGCGGTTGACACAAACCCATTCCCACACCCCCACCGGACTCTGGCGCAGCTTTACTTACATATATACTCCACATAAGCACTCTAAGTCCCCTCCCCTCCCCCCCCCACCCCCCCCCCCTCTCTTCCCCCTGCACCCAGGTACACGCTCCATAATACCCTCACCACCGCGCCGCCTCCGCCATGCTGACATCTCACTGTTTCAGCCTCCCTCTCTCTAGAATACTCCCAGTATGTATATCTACTGTGGCACACACACATACATACCCGCACACCGGTGAGATCTCATGACGCTGAGGCAAAGACGACGCGATATAACAACGCTGCTTCCAAAAATACCCTTAAGCTTGGAAGAAGAAGAAGAAGAAGAAGAAGAAGCAGTATATAGCCGCAGAGACATCGTCCTATCCTCCCGACTGGCTTTTTTGTCACCGTATCGGATACCCCATTCCTCTGAAGTCTGTCTACATCTATCTACACAGAGTCGAGTCGCTATCACAGTACTAGTGTACTCTTGATAAATTACTACATCTCTCTAGCTGCCATTGAACCCAATTCTCCTCAAAAATCAAACCACATAATTCCCAACATGCATTTCAAACTCAAACTCCCCACTGCTGCCACCCTCTTCCTCGCCCTAGCGCAGACCGCCCTCTCAGTCCCCATCTTCAGCAGCGGCAGCATGCCCTACGGACTCAACAACTACGACGACTACAAAGCCGAAGCCGACGAGAGCCGAGTGTTCCGCGATATTGGTATCACGCCGAAAGGTATATCACCCCCCCCCCCCCCTCTTTTCTTCTCCCTCTCTCTCCCGAATAATGTAAGTGGTGGTAGCGCAGTGCTAACGGATATTCTCGGGAGCAGAAATAAGAGAGATTCAAGAGTTTGAGGAGGAGTTCGATTTGACGCTGCTGGACGATGTGTTGGATATGATTAGTGAGAGTGCTAGGGAGCTGTAGTTGTATTGGGAGAGGGGGAAGGGGGAGGACTGGGAACGGGCCTTAGGGCTGGTTTTGTAACAACAAGGCATTGGGATTGGAGTTTATTGGATAGATATTTAGAGTTTAATTTCTATGAGTGCGCTTGATTGCGCCTAGATTCCGGATTAAAGTTTTTTTGTCGTGATTGTGATTGGGAAATGACCGTAGCCTCGGTTTTTTTGCTCCAATTTTATTAAAAATGACTAGCCTGATATTCAAAAATCTACATAGAGTGTGGAAGAGAGAAACCTTTTCTTCTTCTTCCAGAATAATTGGTACCAACAAGGATTAAACACCAAAGGAAGTTCAACATCATCAAGAATAGATGACGAGGAGAAGATAAGAGCGAAAAAAAAAAAAAAAAAAAAAAGGAAAAAGGAAAAAGGAAAAAGGAAAAAGGAAAAAAAAAGGAAATTTGGAAATTGATTCAACTTCTCGACTCATGACGCCGTTTCGTACATTTGATCTGTCTTTCCTCTCAAACTATGACCTAGCTCGTATCATTTATTGTAGCACATTGTTCCGAATTTCTCTTCAACTGAGACATTCCAGGTGACAGACGTAGATTTTCATTCCTCTTTTCTCGTTGCATATTTCCCTGATTTCTTTCCGGGCTAGTTGTTTCCATATGTTTTTTTCATAACTCGCAGCAAAAACGAGGTAGGTAGTGCCCAAAACAGGAGTTGAAAAGGTCTTTTTGAGACCTCAGATGATGCCAAGCCAAATATTAAAAGCAATCTTAGGTAAATCTGTTCACTGAAAGAAGTTCTCCCCATCATTTCGTGATTTATATCTCCCAAACTGAAAAAAAAAATCAAGTAGCCTCCCAGTATTCCTTGTAAATCAGTCGTTTTAATTCCCAGCACCATTGTCGGTATAGGAGCGACGAAAAGCAGCGCTCTCATCGATTAGCTTGCACAAAGCGGCACCACAATCAGTGTCGATTTCCTGTCCATCACGTCCAATAAGGACCGGTTGGTCCTCGTTCAACCGGTTGTTAAGATGTGCTACTCGGTGGAAGCTAATGTCACAAATAGTGATCCAACGAATGCGGAACGGCCCAGAAGATTCCCAGAGAAGATTTTTGGCCCAGATGGGAATCGATGCTGTTCCAGGGGCAGATTCCATACGGGCCTTCATTATGTTAACACATGAATCATAGGTAGAGTGGGTGGCTATGAAAAACTCACATAGCCTTGGAACTTCCCGCTCTTGTTGACAGAAAAGACTAGTATAACGTCACGTGAAGTTTTGAAGGCTTCATCAAAGATCTCCGAGTTTTTCTTTTGCGTTGCCCAAAGTTCCTACGCAATACCATTAGGTCACAAAACCAACATGGCAGAAAAGCTCATCTTACATCTTTTTGCGCCATTGTCACATTATCGTGATTAAAACTTTTTACCACAAAATACCTCGTATCATTACCCCTTGTATCTAAAAGATCAAGACAGTAAATTGTGAGTTACTTTTTTTACTACAAAAAACAATACTGCAATAGTTACCGAAATTCACTACCTGATTCAAACTAGCGCTCAATGCCACGCCATGAATGCAATATGGTTTGGTAGTTTATTTCGGTAACTATGGAGACACACTAAGACGCAGTCGACTTACCAATGGTATGTTCTGGCCTCCTATCGACGTCCATAGTGTCGGCATAGAACTCCTTGTTTTCATGACGAGTGGAAGGATGGAATTCTTTATGAAAACCTCCGCCACCACGGCCACGACCCCGGCCATATGGTTTTTTCTTGAAATCTTCAAACGAAGGTCGTCGACCTATGTTACCTCCTGGGTGAGATTCATCAGAAAAACGCCTTGGTTGGAAGGGCTTTCGAAATTCATCTCGAGGGACAAACTTCCCAGAAGCTGCACGGCCTGGTTTTTGAAATTCTTTTTGAAACCTAGGCGATTGTTCCGGAGTACGATGTTCTTTATCGAATGCCTTGCGCTGAGGACGACCGTCCTCTCTGTGGAACTTGTTTGGTTGTCCTGTAGCACCGTCTTCATGATCCCGCTTGACGAAACCCTCCTTGCGTGAGTCATTTTCATATACACGACGAGATGGGCTCGGCTTCCGGATACGACTTTCTAGTAGTGCTGGAGGCGATGCCTCGCGGCCGCGACTTGCAGCAATTCTCTTGGATAAGCTTTGACGCACGGCAGAGGCTTCATCCTCAGTATCTTCAAAACGTTCTTCCTTGATACGTCTCGATGGATGTCTATTGTCAGCAGGCTCTGTATGCCCAGAACGGGCACTGGAAAAGCCCTTGTTATGTGCACCAAATGCTTCATTATTGATATATTCTTCTGATTGGGGTGTACGGTGTGAAGCCTCGTAGCTAAGACGAGCAGATTTTCCAGTAGGGCGGGATTGATCCTCATAATCATCCTCGCGAAAGGAGATCCGCCTCTTAAGATTTCCAGCATCGCCCGGGGGAGATGCCCGAAATTCATCTGCATAACGTGGTCTTTCATCCCTTGGAATAGGTGGATACATAGCTGCCCTGGATGGGGCACGAAGCGGTACACCTTCATGAGCACGGACAGATAATTCTCGCTCATCACGGGATGGTATTCCTGATGGCGGTGGCATAGCATATGCAGAAGATGCGCGCACTCTTCTTATATCGTCATCCCGAGGAGCAATTGTCTGCGAACGTGCCATGTATCCTCTTGAGGCCTCTGGATCATCTTCTAAAGCCAGCCTCCTTTCCTCTAAAGCCCTGTTTTCGCGGTGGCGTACTAGAATCATCTGACGATGATGGAAGTCGTGGTAGCCGGTAATATCAAGCCATTCCGCCAAATCCCTGTAATAAAGCGCAGCGTAATCTGTTTCTGGAGGACGGATCACGCGAGGATCGTCGCGGGGAGGAAGATAGCGGCCAGGAGGCCCAGCAAGATAAGAAGCCTCGATCCCAAGGTCCTGTCCATGCCAGGCTGTTTGTTGGTGCCTTAAAGCTCTTGAATAAGGGTCCCTAGATTCATCTCTGGGAGCTTCTGGAATTTTGTATAATTGATCATCTCTGCGCCCACGAACTTTTTCCTCTTCTTCTGCATAATGGCCACGATGGTCACTATCGCTCCTTCGACCTTCTCTATCAGACGGGCTTATTTTTTCCCCTGGGTGTCTTAATTCTTTTGCCGAAAGCGGAGGGTCTTCATATCGATGACGAACATCCTGGCGGGTGCTATCTCTTCTATCCCGTTCTTCATGTTCATAACGTGGACCCCGAGAAAATTCTGAACGTGTCGCTGAAGTTGGTGTGCGACTGAAACTACCACCGTGACCTTCCTTGTAATCTTCCCGAGAAGCATTCCTTCCTCGATACTGCTTCTCATTCCGATTTGAAGGGAAATATTGACCTCCAAAACTGCTCCGACGAGAAGAGTCAGGGTCATGATCTGGGCCTGTCCTGGGGGAAGCGTTTTTATGGTGCTCATTTCCTGTCGACTTTGTGGCAAGCTTCAAGTCATCTGGATAATGTTTCTTGCGACGAGCTGGGTCAAATGAGTCCTCAATAGGGGATCTAAGTCCAGCTTTGGGTGGTTCGGTAGATGTGGTATCCGATTTACCAGATGATGGTTTTACCGAGCACATGGCTTCAGCTAAAAGAGCGTTGACAGCTGCATCACGCTCAGGGTTAGATGCAGATCCCTTACGTTGGCTATTCTCCACACCGCTGGCATGATCACCGTTGCTTGCAGCAGATACCGTCTTAATTTCTGGGGAAGGGTCTAGTTTCCCAGTTCCCTCTTTCTCCTGATTCATAAAAACAGCAGCCTTTTTCTTCTTTTCAGCCAATGACTCAAGGACTTTCTGACGTAATTCGTTCGGATCTACATCTTTAGAAGCGGCTGAAGAGTCTTTAGAAGTAGTTGGACTCGTTTCCTTGTCAGCCGAACCTCTAGATATCCCACCATTCTGGTTCGTGTTGAGCCCTAAATATCCACATTTTTGATTGTCACCCGCCATTTCATTGTTAAGGGTCGATTGTACATCCTCCTGCGAAATTTAGTGAATTTTCTGTAAGCAGTGATAGTCGTCGCCCGTACCTTAGAAGACCCCAAAAGCCTTTGGTTCCCGTTTGTAGAATTGTTTTCGTTTTGATCGATATCTTCATTCGCCCCTGGGGAAGCATCTTCATTATAATCTTGATCAGGCATGGAATTAGAAATGCGATCCTCAAGAGTTTTGTTGGGACCTTCATTCTTTTGCTGTTCCTCGTATATGTCCTCCATATTGAACCCAGCTGGAGTGCTATCGTCGTATTCAAGCTGTTCCTGCTCGCGATGACTATGCTGCTTTGCGCGGTTATCGATCGACCTTGATCTGGAGTATCCCTGATTGCTGTTGTTGTACTGATGATAACTTCTGGTCTGGCGAGGTGGGGGATAGTCCATTCTCTCCTCCAGGCTTCTACGCGAACTAATTCTTCCCTCGGGAGGCATGCAAATTTGTACGTCAGATCCCTCTTTCTCCCTTAGGATACGTAATGTGTAATGTTGCTGAATCATCCCCACGTTAGGATTATAAAAGCTGTCATGAAAGCTGGTAGGGTTATCAGAATGTCTTACTCGATGTTTAATTGTAGCAGCAATGGTACTTCTGAATTGTTTTTTTTTTCAAATTATTGCCAAAGAATCCGCATGTGAGTCGAATTGCGTTGTTGCTTCAAAAAAGAAAAAAAAATAAAAATAAAAAGAGTGGCTCTTAAAGCTTTTATCCGATGAAGTACTTCAGGAAGGACTCGTAAATACCAAGCGCAAAAAAGCCTACAGTAGATTGAAGAACAACAGTGTCTCTGGGACGAATTAACTTGTGACAATGCAGCAGGATTCGGGATTCGATCTGTGAACGAGACCACAGCTGGTCTGAAGAAAGTAATTGCACTCAGCGGCTCGCCTGGATGGGTGAATACAGTGAGCTGAATATGGCTGAATCCTCAGGAGCGCAGAGGAAACTAGCAGTGTAATTAAAATAAGCGGGGTTGAAAGAGTGCGAATGGGGGATGAAGAGGGTAGAAGGGGAAGAGGAGAGAGGGGGTGTGAATTATGTGTGTGGGACGGATGATGAGAAAAAAATCCGATGGGAGAGAGCTGTAAGTTGTCGCTAATATGCGACGGCAGAACCAAAGGGCACCTGGCCCGTGTCGTCACAAACTCCGCATCCCTAGGCCCATGTAGCCATGTAGCGCACTAACCACCCTAACATGTACCCAAATTCTCGAAAGTAATCTCTCTTCTGTAAACCAACTGGATAAGTTCCTGCTCCAGGTTCGGCACAGAGATATACTACATTCTTATTTGCACTCTAGCTATTCTTGCATTCACAAGCTGCAGAACTCTGCTTTGGAGTACCTACGTACTCTAGGTGTGTACCCTTCTACTGCACAATATGTGCCTATAAACCATCCAATTGTTTACGCTTACGTGCGCTTGTAAGGCAGAAAAGGCAGACACGGCTTTCTAGTATGGAGTTAAGAACCCAGAATTTCAGACAAACGGCGGCCCTCAAGATTGCCACGTTTAGATCCATAGGAAATCTCGGTATCTACCATCTTACGATACACCCTCTCTACCCTCCTAGGACATGCATGGGCCATCCCAACTACTGGTGCAAGATACATACGGCGCAAACTTTGACTACAAAATAACTGTTGTCAGACATATTCCGATTGGGCCATGCCATGTCCCAGCCTCGCGAAGTCAGTAGCTCATCGTAACTGAAGAACCTAGTTGGATAGGAAGAAGTTAATGGGCACGTGCGCTGAATATTAAAACCGGAACACTACTACTTACAAGAGCGTTACGCTCACCAGTTCACGGAGTCGACTTACTGAACACTCCTGTACTCATAAATCCCCGGATCTGCTGGGCTCAACTTATGTAGGAACTCTCTCTGAGATAATTCCGTGTGGGGACACAGCATGCAGATTCATGCAGTGTGATGTAAATTAGGAAGATCTTCGACGGGGTTTCAACAAGATACATAATAAAAAAAGAACGGCATCCAGATAAAGTCAACACATGAAGTTATAAAATCATCCCACAGAGCTGTTTGATATCGCCGCCAAGCCGAAGAGGTGAACAAACGAAATGGAAAAGAGCCGATGGATTGATAACTCCTGTACTATACCCGAGCACAAACTGTGAATATATGCAAGCCTAGATGCGTTGTACTCGAGTTCTCTATGTCGTTATCCGCGAACTCTTTTGGTTCGCAAATAAGCTTTCCGAGTGACACCACATGCCCCAAGGAAATCTTCCGAGTTTAAAACGAACGAAGGAGCATTAGAAACAAATGATTTAGGTATTTCGAAGTACGTATAAGTACTACGTGCGCTTATTTATAGCCAACACAGACCTTCAGACGAGCTAGCAATGCAATGATAAGATATTTATGTTACAGATCCAAATCCTCATTAGGTGCCCAAATGCTAGGAGTTTTATTCGACTAAGGGCTTATCAGGGAAGAAAATAAAAGAGACAGCCTCATAGCCTTTGCGTATTAACTCTAGTATAAAAGAAAGGCACACTGAACCGACTCCACTGGAGAACACATATTTCTCTGCCCGCTTCCCCCGCCGCAATACTCTGTTTTCCGTGTTTAAGCAAAGTAGCTCTTCCACAGTACACCCTCAAGGTCTTCAAGCTGATCCGAAGTAAAGGCCTATAATTTAGAATATTAGTAAGAGACTAGTCCAGGATATGGTATATCAATGTCATACCTTCACATCTACATGCCAGGTGTCCTGTCTAGTCTTTTTGAATTCCCCCAAAGCTGACTTGACACTCTTACCCACCATGCCTGGGTCCGCTGCAGCTTTTACTGCCAGAGTTGCCAAAACTTCCGGTAGCCAGGTAGGTGGTGGAGATGTGTAAGGGAATGCCTGTACCAAAGCGCCGAGTCCAAGTACTGCTGCGTGCCGTAGCAAGATTATGCGATTATAATCTGGTGTTGGGGTTCCAGCTGGCAACCTTTTCGGCAATCGATTGCTATTCAACATCTTGGTGAATTTTTTCTTGAGTTCTTGCACAATCCCCTCCCGGAGGCGGACTGGCGAGCATCGGACCATCCCGGAAAGTGTTGTTGCAGCCCCAAGCCTAACCTCGAGCTGCGAGTCCTCTAGCATGGTTGAAACACAAGTGAAAATTCGTTCTTTCTCCTCGGCAGTGATAAGGAACAGGCGCCGGAAGTATATGACCTGCATGTTGATTAAAACGCGCAGTCTTTGATGCCACAAAGGTGATGTAGTTCCAATGCGAATGAGAGCCGAAATAAAGGAATGGTCTTCTTTGTAGGGGAGTGGGATATTGGGGAGATGTCTGAACACGTGATACGCAAGCGACATCAATTCCGGATCTTCTTTGATATCCATCATGTGTAGCATCTCACCCATGAAGATATCTGGGAAGAAGGGGATCAACTGCGTGCATTCGTGTGATGATAGAGTTGTATCTAGCCATAGAAGCACCGTCTTGCTTCCTGCCGTGTATGATGATGGAGCTTGTTGGCCAGGCGTGCGTTCATGGCGCCATTTCTCAAGTCGTTTAAACACATCGGTAATTGTTTCAGAGAATTCTGTAGTTGGTTTGTACGGAGTACTTCCAACCGATGAGATCTTTCCTTGGATATCCATCAGGGTCTTCACGTTTTTATAGGACTCATAATGTCTGGATCTATAAAGACTTCCTAATGTTTGCCCCATTGCCTCTCTTACACCTACATCCGAGGGTTAGCATGCCAGTTGATTGGAAATTTGGGTTGACGGGCTTAGTTAAATTACCTTTGTATGGATGATCAATATGTTTGAGGAAATCTTCCAAAATTGGTTTTTCCAATCTAAAATGCCACCCAGCTTCAAGAATACACTGCTGCAAAAGTTGAACCTTGGAGCTTTCCTTGAATGCAGCATTCGAGCTCATATCTAGTCTGAAATTGGTCAGCCATTCAACAATGGGCCATGACCGCCTAAGATCTTTCCCTTGCTGTAAATGAAGTCAGAAAAATGCGCGAGTTATATCCAGGATCCCAGTTAACCTACCAGAACAAGATGTAAGAATGAAGACCAATACGATGAATTCTCCGGAGTGAGGCCATCCTCGAATATTCCCTTCACAATTGGAAAGACATGATTCCACATCGCATCCCGATTCTCGACTGTAGAATCCCTGTACGCAGAAACAAGAGCTCCAAGTATCTCTGCGGTTGCTCGGTGTTGGTGCTTATCACTTCCGTCTTCAAAAACTGCAGCAGTCTCTTCCTTAATTTCATTGTAAGTTACAGGCGTCAAGCCATCTCTAACCAGTTCAAAAGCAAATTGCAGCAACATTGAGCTGGCCATTCGGAATCGATCTGGTGACCCATCGCGAGGCTCTTGTTTGAGATATTCGAAGAAGGATCTGAACCAATTTCTGTCAAGAATATTCGCGATCGTCTTGCGGGCGTTTGTCTCAACTTCATCAAACTGCAGTCCCTCCTTTGGATTTACTTCGTATGCTGGAAAGTCTTTCCCCCATACCAGCCACCCAGGGTAATCGTGGTCCACATAGTATTGTGCGTCTGGCTTCGTAAAAGATTCTAAGAACTCTTCAGTCCAGTCTGGGTCATCTGATCTAGTCGATACCAAAAGCTTGTTTGGTAGGGTAAGCTTATCCAGGAGGAAGTTCCGATAGTTGTGCTCACAGGTGGCCCTGAGCTCGATAAGGCAGAATAGGGCGACCAAAGCCCCTGAGTATAGACCCCTTAGACCAGGATGACTATCGATAGTTCCCTTAGTTGTTAATTCTAGCATGGAATTTGGTGCGATTGTATGGAATCTCAGCCCGAGATTGACAACCACAGTTGCCGTACGACTGGCAGTCTTCCAATGCGAGTTCTTCGCAAGTTCAACAAGCTCCAGCGCAAGGTCAGCTTTCTTACTTTCGATCCGCTTTCTTTTCCTTGCAATCTGTTCTCGTTTCTTGGTAATAATAGCAAGAAGATCTTCGTTCGGCGCAATTCTTCTGACGGTTTCCTCATTTAAGATTACCATACGCTCTAATGGCCGCCCATAATCCATAACTTGGTAAACTGCATTTGTGGCGAGCTTCTGAACGGATGGCTTATCCGCCGTACTTGCTGCAATAAATGCTTTAATCAACGAAGGGGTATATCTCCAATCTCGACCAGCAGTCTTAGCCAGGGACCCAAATAGAAGACTATACATGGCACCCTTCATGCGTCGGAAATCATTGGTCTTCAAGGATTCTTCAAAAGCGGCAAGGAGTGGTGGGATCACAAGAGGCCTTGCACCAATGATAACTTTCGTGGCCGAATCTCCAGCACTCTGTGCATGTCGGCGAATCTCGGTATAAAGTGATACACATGATTCTGCAAGATCCAACAAGAGAGTTTTGTCCATCACGGATAATGGTCGAGGACCAGCATTATGCCTGAGACGCTGGAGATGGTAAACATTCGCTCTTCGCAGCAAAAGCGGCCGAGGATAGTTTTTTCGCAATCCGCTGACTTTAAATGGATGAATATCCGCGGCAAAAAGGCGGGTCACTCTGTCTAACACATGCGCCGATCTCTCGATGCCAATATCTACGAACCATGAGCGATAGGCCTGAAACAAAGTTAGTTTTAAATGAACAAATAATAACAAATAGTCAGAAATCCTTTACCGTATACAGAGCATTAAAACAAGGGACATCGTCCTCTTGCGATTTGGTCAAAAAGACATGCACTTTATGCAATACTTCTCCCAGTTTATCACGCAATTCATGAACAGTGATGTAGAGTGAATCTTCGGGACTTTTGAAGAAATACCCTGCTGGATATCTGTAAGTTGGCTTCACATCGTCATCTTGCGCCTCGCCCATGGGCTCATCGCTATTAGGGCCGTCGTTGGACTCCCCGTCGGCATCTTCCATCTCAACGTCTTCCTCTCTCTTTTCCTTCTCCGCTAGAGTTCCACATGGGACTCTTAAAGGGTCGAATAACACAGAAACTCCCGAGATGACAAGTCTGAGTAAGACTAGGTTCCTGGAAACTTCATCAGACCATTCTTTTCCGGTTCCGTCGCGTTTCACGTCAGATTCACCACTGGTGAGTGATGTCAGTGCCTCCAAGGCATTTCCAGCCTGAGACGTGAATAATTCTACGGCAAATTCGATTTCTGCTTGCGAAGGATTGTGCCAGCGAATACTGAGGTCATTAGGATTATAGACCTTTCCCCAAGCTTCGATGCCGCATGCTATAAATTATGTTAGCTTCTTAATCAACTCTAAGAGTTAAAATCCTACCTTCAGTCGGCTCGACAAGTCCATAATCTACAGTATACACGACTGTCAAATTAAGTAACAAATGATGGATAAAGTTAGAGACATGAACTGTAGGAATTCCCTTGCACCTCTTTTGCATGAATGCTGCGATATCCAACAACTCTTTCTTGTGATTCAACACCGCATCCCCGATATGGACCACGCACATGCTTAAAATGCTCACGTTCCAAACAAGACCTCTGTCTCTAGGAAGAACATCAGAACCTGTGTTACGCGTTGAAGCAGCGCCATTCTCGTCGATTTCCGTTCGAATATTGCGAATCAATACCGGTACTAGTTGTTTCAAAGCCTTTTCCGGATTCACTTTACATAATGAATTGCAAATAAATGCCATTGCATCACGAGCTTGATGGATGACATGGCTGCCCACAAAATCAGTGATCTTTTGGAGGGCAATATCATAGAGTTCTGGGGATAATGCAGCAAGAAGAGGTGTAAAGGCCGCCGGTAATGTGTTAACAATATGCTCTTCTGGAGAACCGCTACGAACCCGAGACGCATCTGGCAAATTCTCCAATAAGGTAAAAACACGTCCCAGAAATGATATTAGGAATTCGCTCAGTCCTGCGGTTGAAGATCTGAGTATTGCAGCTTCAGTCTCATCATCCAGCTCTCCGTCATAATTGATCACAACTTCTGCGCCCTCTCTCTCGAGCCTTTCTACTTCGGAACCAACCCACTCTAGGGCAAGAAAATTTCCACCTCCCCCACCCTCTTCATCTTCAGTTAGATTTCTGAATGGGATGTTGTAAGCCACAGCTTGTACGAACGAAAGAGTATGCAGTGTCTTGTCTAGATCGTTGGCGTCAATTCCAGGAAGCGCAAGGCCTAGTAAGGTTGTGACATGGTTTCGAAATCCTCTAGTCCTAACCATGATCCGAGAAAGAACCTGCAGAGAGCGCAACGAAGAGGTTGTTCGATGTACTTCTACCAAGCCCTGCATACTAGGGTAAATTCTTTGTAAGGCTCCTGGTAGAATAAGATCGGGCTCCAGATATGCCAAACTCTGTAGGGAAGATAGTGAGAAACTCATTGCTGTGCTGCTCTTTGCATAAATACCCATAAAAATGACCTCTTTCAGGCACATTACAAAACGTCTCTTGAGCTCGGGGGTGAGCTTCCGATCTTCTGGGACCTCCATTTCGCCACTTCGCTCCCTATTCCATCTCATAACGAAGAAATCGGCCAGATAATATACAAGCTGGGAAAGAGTCTTTGTCCAGCTGCCTGTATTTGAGGGGTGAAAAAATGTTTCAACGGCCTGAATTAGACCCTCGAGGTTGGAAAGGATAGAATCTGGTTCATTGAGTGAATGGGGAGACAGAGACATAACAATCCATCTCGCAATATGATGCGCTACGGGGTTTTTTCTTTGGTCTCTCTCCAAAGCCATAGCTAAACCGATATTCATATCCACGACGGTGCTGTATGGAGAGGTTGCTTGACCAACAGGTATTTCCAAAAGTCGTAGAATAGCAGTGAATATTAAGGTGGATTGCTCTTTGGTGAAGATACCATACTGGTTAAATGGAATATGCTTGCACGGTAACATATCTCGAGCCAATCGAGAGAGCATATCCATAAAATTTACATCAAACGTTCGGGAACGATTTACGAGTGACCACAGGTGAAACAAAGCTATTCCGGAATTAATATTACGATTCTCATATTCTATTCCACAAAGGGAAATGCTCACTGGGAAGATAATAAGCCGGCTGTAGCTCCGGGTTGTCCGGCGGCGGCGGCCCAGTTGGAAGAAGTAGATTCAAGAGTCCAACTACCACAAAACCTCCTTCTGAGAAAGAAGTACTGAACTATATAAACTATCAATATTTCCTCTCTCATTGATAGTGGATAGACTAAGTCTCACATAAGGTAGGAACTCCTCAAACATTGATGTAATTTCTTCCGGGTCAAAATAAAGTTGCGCAAAGGAACACATTTTCGTCAATGTCCTCACGTTCTTTTTTATTGAGGTTGTATGGACAAATCCTGACTCTTGTGGTAGCACAAATACTTTGAGTTCCTTGAAGAGGGGCCTCCAATCCAAGATAAGGTCTTTTCCAGGACGCAGATAGTGTTTTCGCCTTGTATATTCTTAGCATGCATTATAATTATGGGATCGTACAGCATTATGAGAGACAAAACCAGTGGGTGTTTCCACGCCAGCAGCAAATCAAAGGTACTCATAACAAAGGGAATGTAGGAAAAATACTTTGTAAGGACCATAAACATGCTAGCAAATCTCTCGGCAACTCCAGGATCCAAACCAGGGGCCATAGCTAGCTCATAGTAGAGCTTTGCAAGCTTAACTCTGGTCTTTCGTGGAGGATCAAACTTCAATGTCAGCCAACTTCTGAGCTCCCTCGACCAATGGACCGCCCCTGGAGCAAAATCCCCAGCTTCAATAGAGATGTAAAGGTGCTTGATGATCTCTTCAAGGTTCCTCTGTCTCTCGGCCTCGTCTTCAACCTTATAAGGAAGGTATTTGAAATATGGGTAAGATCGGGGTCTGTAGCGGGTCTGCGAGTCGCCTTCAACATCATCCCGCCACTCGGCTCCGGGACTGGTTGCGCCTGAAGCTGCCTGATCATTCCCGTTGGCACCAATATGGGCCGCCAGGTACTCTGACATTTTGCTCATGATGGCAAAGAGGAAGGCTTTGAATCTCCTCGGGAGGAGACCTCGTTAGGTGAAGTGATAATGCGAGTGGGATGGTGGATGAAGCTTTGATACTGGGAAAAATTAGCTTGTTTTCGGATGATTCAACCCGGCAAAATTAGCCAAACGAAACGGCCTCGCTTGAGGATGAACAAAACGGTGCCTTCCCAAATTCAAAGAAGGCCTGGTGAGGATGAAAACAATGAAGTATGCAATCGATGTTTGATGAAAGCGATAGCAGCAAGTAGATAGATGGGTGGAGGAGGAGGTACTGCAACGACGAGTCTTAGGACTCTGGAGGGGCACGCACGACACAACACAACACAAGGACTTAAAGCCGCGCTGGCTTCTAAAGCTGTCGCTGGATATTCTGATGAAGGGATGGAAAGCTTTATCTCTATATTCCAAAGGAACGAGTTCGGAGATAAAGATGAGGAGCGTAGAGATATTTCACAGTACACGCTTCTATTTTCGATTTGATTGACTACAACAAGAGGGGGATTGTACTTATGTATCAATGCCAAGGCTTACTTTTTCCAGGGTCAGTCTGTACCACGAGGAACCGTAGGTACAGGTACTGTGTTCTAGCTGACATTTGTGTACAGGAGGGCACCATACCGGTTGATCAATCTACATGTATGTACTCTATGGATTTTAGGTGCCTACTACAGCTACATGTATGTACCTATTCTACGTTATTGCCACTTTCAGAGCCGCGATAAGTTCACACAAAGGCTCTGCGCATAAAGCATTTTAGGCGCCTTTAATAAATTTAAAACAAGGCTTACTTACTCCCCTTGAATCAGCTGCGCGCACTGAGGCGTCTCCGGTCTCGCCTGGTCCCTCGTTAGATTCTACGTACCCCACATACGTCAACATCAATACTGGTACCTACCATAATACCCGTTTTATGCACTTTAATAATCAAGAGGCTTTGTCAGAGGCAGTCGATCAAAAGCAGTATTACCAAGGTCTTAACTACACCCTTAGATATTACAATAGTTTCTTATTGTCCTGATCGCTGAGGAACGCACTCATGTTCAGATATAGTGGTAATAAAGGCCGGTTGTGAAGCATTGAAAATTATTCCGAGCCCTAAATTTCTGTTTGATTGATGATCACAATTGTAGTAATACATGTAATCCATGCGCTCGTAGCTTCAAGGCATGGTGGTTACTAGATCTGTAGTACAAATAAGCAAAACACAGAACTGCTGAATTCGCCCAGGTCTTCCTGCAAGGTCTTTGCAGTACTCCATGCTGTTTTGAGACTTCTATATGCAGCTTATGAAAACCCCCATTCCTAATTCCACTGTCTGAAATGAATTAGATACATGAACCTCTTTTCTAGGTATGGTCACGTGATTGATGCTTTATGTAATCTAGGTCCCCGCCAATCACCCGCGGGTCATTTCAGATTCCAACATCAAATCTTTGCCAACTTCAACGTTCCGTTTCCTTTTCGTATCGACTCAACCACCCCGCTTCCCCGCCATTATTGAAGATGTCGCTCTCATCATTCATTTCTGATATCTACAACTCCCTCAGCATCTCTGAGGTCCACGCCGAAGCGCCACCAACTGAGGAGAAGGAACCACAAACCCAGGAGCAGGAGGAGCCCAAGGAAGAGAAGGAAGAAACCGAGGAGGAGCCTGAGAAGGAAGAAGCGGCGGAGGAAGAGGAGGAGGAGGAGGAACCCCAGGATCCTGCTCCAGCGATCACTGAAGGTATACCTTTCTCCGATTTGTGTTTTATCCGGGAATTCCGAGACACCACGGCATTGAGGTTTTGAGTGTTTTGAGAACGAAGAAAATGAATTGAGTTCGCTGATGATAGTATAGAATGCGCCAACTCTAAGGAATGCAGACCATACAAGCACCATTACGATGAATGCGTTGAGCGCGTCACTGCCGCTGCCTCCGAAGAGAATGCTAACGGCCCAAAGGAGGACTGCGTTGAAGAGTGTACAGTTTCCCATTACCTCGGCGGCTGCCTCAATATTCTCAGCGTTTAATACTCTGACTGACTTGAATTTCTACCTATAACATAGTCTTCCACGTCCTTCATTGCGCCACCACATGCGCCGCCCCCAAGATCTTCGCAAAGCTGAAGTAAACCTTACCAATTAAGATCTTTACACAAAGTAGATGATTCTCCCAAAAGATTGGTGTGTAAGGTCGCATCTACGCATTTTTCTTTCCTTTCTGCGAGTAGCGAGGTAAAATTAGAAGTGGTTTGTATGGAAATGATACTATGGAGATAAAGGGCGGGGGACAGAGGGAAAAATGATACCGTAAAAAAGTGTATTTTACTTTTTCCTCCTCCAGTGTTTTTGCGCTTGCAGTATATGGAACATTTGTGAGCGAAATTATAGAGCTTCTTTCCTTTAGCCACTTAGAAGGCTTGAAGGCTCATTCTGTTAATGTCGATTTCGTTTAGAGTTTTATATTCATTAGTAAATATTACCACCTGTGATACAAAGCATTCACATTTGAACCTAGTATTTTCCCTCTGGAAAAGAAAATTATATCCAAGATTTGTCGGGGTATATCGCTTTTTCTCCCGTGAAAATCTTCTGGATCTTTGAGATCCGACATGGCGAGGTGGGACGGACTGCCCGCGTTCTATGTTCATCTTGCGCGAACCGTCGCATAGATCCATAGAGGATGGTGGGGTAAGGGAGACAACGGCTACCGTGTTGTGCCGACCTTCTCTCCTCCACCTTCGAGATTTTCTGGCGTGACAGCAATACTCGAGTCCAACCCCACCACTTGCTGGTCTGATAAACGAACTCCCTCCGCCACCAATCTTTCGTTAAAATGGCCCTTGGTGGGAAAATTCCTTCATTATAATAAGATCCCTTTTCTTCTATCCTAGACCGCCCGTCGAGCTGTTATTAAACGTCCTTCACCTGCCGCGAAATCTCCAATTCCCTGTTTTTCCCACCAACGCACGCCGGTACGAGCCGAATCCAACGATATCAACATCCGTAAAACCGAAAATCGGCATCTATCTTAGCTCGGGCTACACATCTCAAAATGCCTCCTGCAATGCATCCGAAGTCTTTCTCGACAGCTAGTCTCTTCACATCTACTGCCGTATTAGCATTCCTTGTTGTGGCAGCTCCACATATACTACCATGCCCCGCTACGGGCCCCGAGCGCGCCGAATCGGCTTCAACTCCTGCAACTCTCTTGCAAGACAAGCAGCGCAAGAAAAGGCGAAAATGCCCATTGCCACGACCAACCCCAGGAGGACTTATTGGAGAAGTATTGGGAAAGAAAGAGGTTGGGACAGTCGCGAAGGAAATTGAGGCGTTTAAGGGGAAGAAGGTTGTGTTCGAAAAACGGACAGGAGAAGGCAGGTAGCAATTGCTTGCTATCGAGGACTCATTGAAAAGAAGTAAATCACAAGGGTTATATCCACTCTTGTTTTCTTCTACTTCTTCTACCTTAGCGGGGGGCGTGTACAGTCTCAATCCCTTACCGATTTCATGTTTGAGAGTGGTTCATTTTCATTTGCGATCTTCCCATTATACCCGTCTTTAGATGAGTTTAGAGGTGGAAACCCTTCCAGAAAGCTGTGCACATATATACCACTATAAGCCCGTTTATGTAATTACTTTTATACCCCTCTTGTATATATTCTTTTTGGGGTGATGAAATTTGAGAGCTTTGAGACTGGAGCAATAGCGGAAGTTTAGGAATCAGAATAGAGTACGAGCTCTTAAGAGGGGGCATTTTCACGTCATACTTAGGAATTCAGCAAAAGGTCGTGAGAACAGTTATAAATTATATTTCTATATGATATGTACTTACCTTTCAAGAACCCTAAACACGATGTATATGTACGATCTAAGCTTGAAGGTCGAAAATAGTCCTAATTGTCATAGAAGCAATATGCTTATATCTCGACGTCATCACTAGAATCAATTGGTCAGTACAGGATATTATGGCCAGTCGATCATACATGTGTACTGTAATAACCGGTACATACTGGGCCGATGTACATACACTATAAGAACTACAATGCTAGAAACGTCTAGGATCTAATCTCTTGGATAGGCGAGAATTGTTGAAGCCTAGAGATTTTCTAAAAATAAAAAGAAATATAAAAATCTTACCAGATAAATTAAATACATGCGCCATATAAAAAGAACCATTGCGAGAAAACTACATGGCGTATGTACCTACATATATATAAGTATCCATCCGGTAAAACCGTCTACACAGTCAAACCCTTATTCCTGAGAACCACACAACCAACAAACTACAAATCTTCCTAGTTAAGAGAACACTTACGAGAGCCCAGGATTAATTTTTCAGCCATTTATATCAATTAGAGGCTGTAGAGTACGGTAGCGAACTGGTGAGGCCTTGTTGCGCTGCGCATGCCACACGGGTCCCATTTATATACTAGATCGAGGCCACAGAATCTACAACCTAGATAATGATTACAAAATCCGCTATTAATATAATAGAAAGACACCATTCGTCCCATCTCTAATGATTCGAAAACTATAAATATATATATACGGACATCATTCTCTCCCATGGCAATCGCTACTTCTGGTATGTATACCGGATTAGAGATCATTGGAGTCTTGGTACGTAAACTTATTTGTCGGAAACTACATTATATAGTAGTAGACGCATCTAGCCCTAGATTATAGTAGCAACGGGACCTCTTCGAGCTTCGCACTTAATATGTTTCATGGTAATTGGCGAGTGACAACACATGATGTTTTAACTGCCTGTTACCTGATTTGGTAGCAATTTCGAGTGATATTTGATGATGTCGTGGTCGCGATCGGGACTCGGTTATCGGATCATCGGATATAAGTATCATAAGCTATATGTAATTACTCAGCCAACAACCCTCAAAAATGACGTCTTTCCCGGCCCCACCAACAAGATTCAGAAACCATCACCATCTCAGTCAAACAATTCGAGGAAAACAATAATTCTAAAAATGTCTTTCGCACGCCTTGCCCTTCGCCCTGCCGCCTTTGCTAGCCGCGGATTTGCTACTTCTGCAGTTGCTGCTAAGCATACGCTTCCTGACCTGCCGTATGACTATGCTGCCCTTGAGCCCGCAATTTCGGGAAAGATCATGGAGGTCTGTAGTTCTACCTTGAATTGTGCAAATTGAATAAACCACTGATGTGAATATAATAGCTTCACCATTCCAAGCACCACCAAACATATGTCAACTCCCTTAACGAGGCCGAGGAGAAATATGCCACCGCAGTTAATTCCAAGGACGTCAAGGCCCAAATTGCTCTCCATCCTGCATTGAGGTTCCACGGAGGGTATAAATGCTCCTAGCCATCGAAAATTCAGTAGAGGACTCTCTCTAACCCTAATATCTGATCAAGTGGGCACATTAACCACTCCCTCTTCTGGGAAAACCTCGCGCCTAAGTCTGCCGGCGGTGGAGCACCCCCTACTGGTGCCCTTGCTGAGTCTATCAACCAGACATGGGGAAGTTACGAAGAGTTTAAAAAGGTGGTAAATGCTTCACTTGCTGGTATCCAAGGAAGTGGATGGAGTTGGTTGGTCAAGGACAAGGAGACCAAGCAACTGCAAATCGTTACCATGCCCAACCAGGATCCGATCGTTGGGAAATATGCGCCATTGTTGGGTATTGATGCATGGGAGCATGCATACTAGTGAGTTCCTCCTGAAACCGCGGTGAGATCAAAAGGAGGTATCAAAGCTGACAAAACAATAGCCTCCAATACCAGAACCGTAAGGCTGAGTACTTTAGTGCAATCTGGGACGTTATCAACTGGAAGGCTGCCGAGCAGAGGTTCAAGGCATAAACCAAATGGATAAATTCCATAAATGGTTATTAGCTTGAAAAATCGTTACTGTATATATGTGAGGTATTGGTTGATAGGGCAGCGTAGCGTGGGCTTGAATTCGAATTGATCGTCAGAAGTCACAATCGATGCATGTAGCTTAATGCGATTTACATTCCAATATGAACAAGCCATTGTGACATTGGCCTACTGAAAATCGACCTTTATTCTTTTTCAACAGGATTTCTTCGAACATTTACAGAGTCTCAATACTGTACATACGTAGGTGCTTACATGATACACGTTTGTATGT